AATTTTAATTACGAATAAAAAAACTAGTAATTTAAAAATATGCAAAAAAATAATCGTAAATCAAATAACAAAATATAAAAGTTAATATATAAGTTGGACGGCCCATGTCCAAATGGTTTTGTCTTCTGTCCAGATGGGCCAAGACCAAATTTGTCCGCAGACCATATATAGCCCATATAAAAAAATTGTCCACACGGACAGGCCCAATTGGTCGCGGGCAAGCCCAATTGACAGCTCTACTTGTGTGCTCTATTGAAAATGCGAGATGTGATAAGCCGCTTCAACTTGTATCAAACCATTCACGTTTCCAGAGATATCATTGCAAAGATTGCCTTTTCCTTCTTCTATGTTAGGTTAGTTGTTTAAATACCTTAAGTTACAAATATATTTGTCTTAATTTTCTTACCAATGCTCGTTTTCTCAGGGATATTTTGGATAAATTTTTACAGAACACACAGTTAAGCAAGTATAACCAACCATTTGACCATTCACCGTTTATGTTCTACAGATCAAAGGGACCCAATAAATTTGATCATTCAGATTCTGATCATCCTCTTTCAAGTTGTTGTAAATAATAAGTCACACTTCTCTCTCTCTCACTATACACAAATACGTTTTGTGTGCTCTGATGTTTTTGAGTTGTGTTTTATCTTGTTGTGCAGATAAACTGAGTTTTGTGCTCGAAAGATATTCAAAATACCAATAGTTTCTAACCTCTTTCTCCTTTTTATGCTTTTAGGCTAAGCTGGGGAGATGAATAGTAGAAAAGAACAAGATCACATTCATTTGAGTAGTACAACATCAAGCAAAATTGTGAATTGTTGGTTTTATGTTCTTAAGACAGTTGTATTGTGTAAAACCATATTATATTTGATTAATTGAAGTTTTAGTTGCTTAATCTGTCGCTTTCAATATTTTAATAAATTACACAAATTGAAATATATGAAAATAAAAAATACTCATAAAATTGCATTTTGTGTCGGTTGATAAGTGACGTAAATGCTGGAGACTTTGAGACGGATTTTAACCGACGTTATAAAGTAATTAAACCGACGTGAATGTTTCGACGCCAAACTTAACGTCAGTTGACAAAATGAAGCAAGCTTATCTTACGACGGACGATGTAAAGACGGTTTAATAACCGACACCAATTTTTTTGAATCGGTGAATAACTGACGCAAAACCTAGATATAAACGACGTTAACGCCCTTGTTTTTTGTAGTGTTATGTCAACTGTGTGTTGGTTAGGATCTCATGAAAGCATTCTAAATTCCACACTGGAAAACAATATTATATTTGATTAATTGAAGTTTTAGTTGCTTAATCTGTCGGCTTTCAATATTTTAATAAATTACACAAATTAAAATATATGAAAATAAAAAATACTCATAAAATTGCATTTTGTGTCGATTGATAAGTGACGTAAATGCTAGAGACTTTGAGACGGATTTTAACCGCGTTATAAAGTAATTAAACCGACGTGAATGCTTTGACGCCAAACTTAACGTCAGTTGACAAAACGAAGCAAGCTTATCTTACGACGGACGATGTAAAGACGGTTTAATAACTGACACCAAATTTTTTGAGTCGGTGAATAACTGACGCAAAACCTAGATATAAACGACGTTAACGCCCTTGTTTTTTGTAGTGTTATGTCAACTGTGTGTTTGGTTAGCATCTCATGAAAGAATTCTAAATCCCACACTGGAAAACAAAATCCAATGTTTTAGAAAACAAATCTTTAATTTTCGATAGTCATGGAGATACATCAAACCTTCATAATCAGTTAAGTAACGAAAACATATTTTGATATTCTACTAATTCGATCTCAAATGAACTTTATTTCATCAAATTATTGACTCAAATTGTTACCCCTTAAATTGATAATATCATAATCGAAAATCCATACAGTGAAGGTATCGAAAACTAACGAATGCACAACTTCAATCGTGTACCAACTAGAATTACTTGGCATGGGAGAAATGCAATCAAAGAGGCAGTTTGCACAAATTGGTTCAACACAACAGTTGTGGTAGGTGATAGTGGTGGGAAATGGATGAGGGATGTGAGGTGGCTAAAGGATCTGGTGCATTTGGAGGGTGAGTAGGGAGAGGGTTAATGCCACCACTAGGGGTGGCTAGCTGCGGGCGGATTCATGCTGAAAGCTTGACCAAACAAGC